TGGTATAGTGGCGGGCGGAGGCGACCTTGACAATTTGTCCAAAGGCAGGCGAGCCGGCGGTAAGGGCGACGACTCCCGCAGTGTGGGCAAAGGCGTAGCAGAAGGTGAGCGGGAGGAGGCTGATGACGTCCGCCTTGGTGATGGCCGGCAGCGGCTGCGGCGCAGGCGCCTTCAGCCCCAGCAGCGGCGTCGGGTTGCGCCGGATCAGCCACAGGCCCATTGCCCACGCGGCGCACACGACAATCTGCATGACCGAGATGGTGACCGTGAGGCCGCCGTCCTTGCCGCCCGCCTTCATCGAGGCCTGCTTGTTGTAGAGATTGTAGTAGTAGTTGCCGACGAACCTGCTCGGCGCGCAGCGGCTGTCAGCGTGTGTGGTGGGAGCCGAGAGTGGCTGCAACGACCGGGCTCCGGGCGAGCGGTCACCAGAAGACGTACAGCAGCACTAGGGCCAGCTTGTCGGCCATCGAGGAGGATTTCGCCATATTTGGCACCGCGCGGCAGGTAGCAGCAGTAGGCCAGGCTCGACGTCAAAAATAAGAAGCGGCCCCCTAGAGCGTGGAATAGGACCGCCGCAAGCGGCGTGGCGTGGAGCGGTTGAGCGTCCCTCCGGGGGCCCCTCTGCGCCGGGGAGGCGTTGTTGGCGGCTAGGACGCAAGCGTCCGTCGCCGTTTTCAAACTCGGGGCCCACTCCGCTACGCTCCGACCCGAATTTGGGGGCCATGAAATTTAAGGTGTTGCTGCGCAAAAGGGGTGGCGCGCGGGCGCGCGCGTGCGGGCGTCGAGCGCGGAGCTGCAAACACAATGACGTCGGAAAGCTCTGCATCAAGTATACAGTAGGCTCTAAGCACGGAACCAGAGCGCGAAGTATCCTCTCCGCCCCGTGCAAACGAGTGGCGAGGGCCGGGGAGGGCGCACGCGTTCGCGTGGGAGGCGGGGCGAGGTGCCGCAACGCGGCGCCGCGCGGCGGAGCGCTCAGTCGCGGCACGCGTCTCGACCCAGGGATCACACCACATAGTCCTCTCCACCGCTGATCGCAGCCGTCGCAGCCAGGCTGGCCGATCAGCCGCCGGCAGCCGGGAGAGGCGCTCGAGCCCTCAGTGCTCCACCACCTCGGCCGGAATGCCCACGGCGGCGAGGTTCGTCACCACCTGCTCGGCCGGGAGGTCGCTGACGAAGCACTGGCCCTCGCCATCGCCGGGGAAGGTGGCGATGGATGACGTCAGGCCCGCCTTCTTGAGGAACAGCTCGATCGGCGCGACGTAGCGCTTCTCAGACGAGATGGAGACGCAAGTGAACGCGGTCGTGCCGTCGACGAGCCGGGCGCCGTCTGCGGCCTCGAATCGCTCGACCGTCGCTCGCGGCGGCGGGAGACATGGCCGCCGATGCGGCTCGCACTCGCTCGGCGGGCCTCCGTCCCACAGACAGCCGCCCGGGCAGGCTCACAAAAATAACAAGTCGCGCGCCGCGAGCTGTGAGAGGACCGCCGCAAGCGGCGTGGCGTGGAGCGGTTGTGCAGCCCTCCGGGGGCCCCTCTGCGCCGGGGAGGCGTTGTTGGAGGCTAGGACGCAAGCGTCCGTCGCCCTTTTCAAACTCGGGTACCCTGTCCCGTTATTGCGTACACCAACACCACAAAAGCTCTCTCTCCTGTCCTCACTCAGGGGGGGTCACAACTTCAACTACCGAGTCCCTCGACTAGCTGCCACGTTGCCGACCGAGAGCGGAACTCCTCCTGCTCCGCAAGGAGGGTGGCCAAGGCTAAAGTCTTGCCGGAGCCGCCGGGCGCGTTGACGACTTGGAGAAGGTCGCCCTTGCACTTGTACTTGTAGAGAGATGCTCGAGGGGGTGCTTTGTGGGGCGGTGCGCAGCCAGGCCAGCAGTGAGGGGAGGCGCACCCTCACTCTCCTCGGTTGCAGAGCTCGTCGGAGGCTGCGGCACGACGGGAAGGTCGCGACAGCAGTCCTCGGGCGAGCCGACGCGCATGTCCAACCAGCGCTGGGACTCGTTGTGACGGCAGACGCCGGCTGCCTCTCCAACCGCTTCTGCAGCGTCCTTCTTTGCCCGGTGCATGGGCTCGATCCGATTCCGCAGCGTGTCGGTCCCCAGCGGCG